TGCGCGCCATGTGAGGGCGGGTCGGTTGGGTCCCGGGTGGGAAAGGTCCGGTGCCCTTCCCGGCCGTAGACACTTAGCTAGGGTTGTCGCGAACCTGCGGAGGTTCGAGTTTCGACTAGGATCGATTGTTTCCGAACCTGTAGCCTGAAGTTCGACAACAGTTCGTTCGATGTTTGACTAACGTGCATGCGGGATAGCTTTTTCGTTAGTGATGTCAACCCAAGACTGGGTAATAGTATCACTGTAAACATTGTTCGTCTTCTGCCCCAGTCTCAGGTTAATATTACAATGGCAAATTTACACCGGCTCGCCTGCACACTAACTATAGTATCGTAAATCTTCTACACCTCCAACTTGCACAGGGGAAATGGGTGGAATATTTCTTAGGTTTATTGCTTTGTGCGTGTCACATTAATAAACTATTTCTAGCATCAAATATGTATATGTGTTCCTTTATACAGAGTAAATTTATAAATCATTAAATAAAATATAAGAGGGCTATAATATAAATTACTCGCTTGCCCAAAAATTCGAACGTTTTGTGCGGAAGTCGGGCAACACTGTATATAAGTCGAACTTTGCAAGCAGTTCGAAGGTTCGCGAAACCAGTTGAGCCTCTCGGTTCGACGAAGGTCCGTATCATCCATGCACTTAACCGCCCCTCTGTTCTATGGGAACTGCGAGAAAGGTCTCTGATAGTTCTCAATTGGGCGGAATTACCGGATGTTGTGAGTTATGTATATATATATCTTGGCCCCTGGCCGCGACCTCGTCTTTCGTGCCCTTGGTTGTTTGCAGACGACGTTGGTCCTTCTTAGGCGTCGAGGGAGTGTTTTTAGGCAGGGCGATTTCGCAGGCAACAATATACCGGGCAGCTGGAATTCTCCCAATCAGGTGGGGAATGCGGCTGGGCACGACTCTGAAAAGAAGCCTGGGCGTTCCCTGTCTCGCAAAACACGAAGAAACCCAATCACGGGATAAAATATAATTGTGGATGAAGCAAGTACAAGAACGATTAATAAAGTAGCTCAATCAGTATGCTCCCGCGTTAGCATTGTATATCTAATTCAATTGAACATAAAATAGCTAAATCTCAGAGAATATCGGACATTCCCGATGAATAGCGTTGACTTGAGGTTGAACCTTGCATTTGCTTTGTAACTACTGAAGATGCCTCCCGCATGGGAGGAGAAACGTCTGACGAAATAGTTTTTTTTTTTTTGTGTCAAGTCGGTGCTCTTATTTTAATTATAACGTCTCCCGGCTTTTGAAGCATTTTTGCACTTATAATACAATTGCATAAGAGAATGGCGACGTAAAGAAGGAAGTCGTCATGCTCATGGTCATTGCAATGTTTTTTTTGTTTGTTTTTTGTAAAGTCGGTATTTTGATTGCTGTCATGCAGTAGGATCTTTATATTCTTTTCCATGATTCGCTGTCTTGTTTTCTGCAAAAAAGTAGACTCATTTTTTTTTTACTTTGTTTATGAAGTTGCATGTTCATCGGCTGCCTTTACATCTTGACTGATTGAGATTGGTTAACTTCTGTGGACACCGGACAGCAGCGGATACCGAACGGGCCTCTCCCGCGAACGAGACTTTGATGACGTTTTAAATGCTTATAGGTATCAAAACCCACCCTTGTCGTGATCACTTGAGTCTCTGCATAGCCTATAATTCAGAGGTTTCGAACTAAAAGCTCGAGTTTCAGAGTTTTAGCATTATCGCAGCAGTGTATTAGTGCCACGATAGTAAAGATTCGTGCCAAATATATAGAGGTCAAAGATGCGTACTGCCGGAGTTAGTAATTCGAAGTTTATTACGACGTTTCGAGCGGGGACCGCTCGAAACGTCGTAAAGAGCGGTCCGCACTCGAAACGTCGTAAACAACTTCGGATTAGTAACTCCGACAGTACGCATCTTTTACTTATTAACTTTTCCCGGTCCAATGTTTTTATATTTACCTTACTTCACCTATATATATATATATATATATATATGAATGGTTGGGTGAATGAGCGCTGATGGATAAAAAAAAGAAAAATACGGGACCGGTTTTTTTTTTTTTTTGTGTTGACAACGTCATTTTTAGAAAGTGGATTAATGTTGCTCTGATGACGATTTTGAAATACAAGCAACTGCGGCGTAATAATCGAAGTAACATTTCTATTCCGGAACCAGAAAGTTCTGAAATCAAGGTAGCAATATATATATATATATATATATATATATATATATATATATATATATATATATAGGAGTATATGTATATGTATTTCTAACTTTCCAACATTACGACTACCAGTTCAATTTGTATATTATTCTTCCACAGAAACACTGCTTCATGCACTGTATAAACGGTAGTAACCTGAATCCATATTCACGGACACAACCGCAAGCAGTTGGGACCCGCAGTGCTGGGTACAGCACATACAGATTTTGTTCATATATCGCGATGATGATAATTCAATTAATGCAAAGGTGCAAACGGGCTGGAAAAGAATGACGAAAATAACCTCTGGAGAAGAGGAACAAGAGGGACAAGGGACGGACACAAATCTCCAGAGTTAAGTGACTAGTGCGCGAACGAAAAGATCCGCCTGGTCCTGGTCATGACCATGAAAATAATGCAATGGTACGAGCGAGCTGCTGAAGAATGATGATAATACTCCCTGAAGAGGGAGACGAAGGACAAACACAAAGGATTATAAGTAGGGGGACAAAGGACAAACAAAAAGCAGTGTCATCATTACCTTTAAATGCTGGCCTTTCACCATTGTTGGTGTTAGACTGGTCACTGGTGGCATCTGATAAAACTCGTTTGCTCTACATCCTGGTTAGCTCAGTTGGTAAGGCACTCCACTGGAAATGGAGAGGTTCCTAGTCTGACACCAGGACCAGGCTGATTATTTTAATCCCGCACCCGTCACCTAGCTGTGCATGGAGATTTTTGTTTGTCCTATGACCCCCTTGTTCCCCTTCTCCAGGGATTAATATCGATAGATCGCTTCCATATTTACGGCGCTTAAAATTCCAACATTAAAAGGAATATCTGCCGCGCTCAACCTGCCTTGTGTCTTGCAAGTTAAAAAAACAATTGCGAAATGAAATAGTTTACTTCTCTCGAAAGGAATGCGCGACTTGTATTCAAGCGTTCATTGCGCCAGTGCTTATTCTAAGGCGTCCTACAAGTTCCCTTCTATTAAAAGACGCTTTGTGCTCGCTCCTCAGCAGGAGTGAGTCATCATCCTTGTCCCACTGAAAACCAACGTTTAAAATTGTCGCCCGCACGTCCCCCTATAAATATCTCCGCTATCACCGAGCACAGACGGAAACAGAGCAAATCTCCTCTCCCTCCAAAGAAGACGCCAAGGGGGAGAGAGACGGTAAAAGAGAGAGCGAGATGGAAGTTTACCAACTAAGTTCGCCTTCCCAGTGACGCATAAAAGGCAAGCGATGTAAACGTAGCTTCGAACTCTCTAGCGTTCCAAATTTGTTGCTATGGCGGAGCTACGCTTTAGCCTCCAGCCACCCATAAAGCGTCGTGTTGAGGGTGATGCTGGTCATTAAATTTCACGAGGAGTGCAGTGACGCAGAGCGCGTTATACGCGGCTTTTGCCTCAGAATGCAGCAGACCTCGTTGCCTTCGATACCTGTAGCGCGTGCAGTTGCTCGGGCTCTAAAGGTAGTCTTTATACTCAAGACTCGCCCACCTCGCCATCCCCACGCACAGAAATAAAGAATAAGATATTTATATATATATATATATATATATATATATATATATATATATATATATATAAAATATATATATAAAATATATATATATATATATAAAAAAAAAAAAAAACCGGTCCCGTATTTTTCTTTTTTTTATCCATCAGCGCTCATTCACCCAACCATTCAGGCGGGAAACCTCTCCGATTCATATTTGGCAGCAAAGAAAAGAAGCAAATCATTTCACGCCGATTCCAACCGGTTATCGCGATGACGCTTAGCGAGACATACAAACAACAAGATAAAAGGCTTTCCCCCAAACTCCACACGTCCACAGAAGAAAGCCCCGAGCACGCCACCGAGCAAGCCCAAAAGAGGCCGACGCCGTCGCGAAATCGCAGTCGGCGCATAAAACATTCCTCCCTACTTCTCTCCTCTCCTTTCCTCCCCATCCTAATGCTCCCCTCCCCAAAAGCCTTTCGGAGTCCCGCCGTCCCTCATCACCAGCGCTGCCCAGACCAAGTGCCCGCGCCGGATGAAAGGGAACAAAATCGCGTATCTATCCGCGTCGTCTTCCTTCGCCGTTCTCCCCAAAACACGGTGCGGTGATAACAACGGCAAACCCGCCGTCATCCCTCTCACGCACCGTGACGTCACAGACGTCGACTCCCGCGTGTGGCGCTCCCTGGCGGGAGCGGAGGGCGGCACGAGATGCGCCGCCCGGAGCGCTCCTCGTGGCAATCCGAGGCGGACGCGATGCGCGGTTCGTCCGTCTAGCCGCGAGAGCGAGAAAAACGCGTCTCCTCCGTGGGTGTCGATGTTGGGCCGCGTTGCTGCCCGTGTCCCGGGCCCTGTGACGAGCTCTGTGCGCTTTTCTCGCCACCGGCGTTGTGTGCAACGAGCCTCCTCGTGAGATGCCGCCGGCGTGCGCCTCACCCTAGTCGAAAAAGCAGCCTGCAACGAGGGAATTTGTCGGCTCCGCGTGGTTTTGAATGGGGGCGTCCGCCGCAAGTTGTCGTCGCTTTGCCGGTGGAATGTCAGCGACAAGCAGGCGACGAACCTAGAAAGGACCAAAACAACTACCGAAAAATCCTAGCCTGCAAAGAAAAATAGTAGGAGAGTGAGCGAGAGCAGCGTTTTCCGTTGTGGAGGATTTGCGTCCGTCGCCGGAAAGTGCTTCGGTGGCGTGCTGTTTGGTTAGCGTGTATGTGCGTGTGAGTGTGTGCCTACGCGACGGCTTATGGTGTTCGTGTCCATCGTCGAATGAGCCCAGGAATCAAATCGTTGATGTCTTTCCGTCGTCCCACTACCATGCTGAGAATTTTAGGATACCGCCGAGGATTTCTGCTGGTGGGATTGCTGTCGTTGTGGAGTTCGCGGACGGCCGACGCCGGTGGTGAGTCGGAGCAGTGAAAAAAGCAATGCTATTGCTTTTTTTTCGGTTGCAAATGTTTCTGTTCTGGGAGGTCTGCGGTCTGCCTGGTCGAATGAGAAGGAAGAGTATTTTGATATATATTTCTAGGTTTAATATATTGTATGTTTTATGCGGTTTCAAGCTGCTACTTTTTTTATATGCCCTTTGCTGCGCCTGAATTCGATTCGATGCTGCCGTCGCAATAACAATGTTGAAACTATATTTTTTTCATTCGCTACTGGTTTATCTGTCTCAATTGTCAAATTTATCGCGTCGTATTTTCTGAAAGCTGCAGATAAGTGCGCAACCCTTTGCGTATTTGTTTCATACCCCGCTGCATAATTCGATTTTCTAGTGGCCACGGACTTCCATAAATTTCCCAAGTTTTTCTCCTTTTTTTGTAGCGCATTATTTCAAAGATATTCCTTAGAGAACGCGTCGCAGCGGTAATTCTTCTTTATATATTTTTTTGTAAAAGTTTGGAGTATAAAACCAAGAGACGTGCAATAACTTTTGCATCATGTGCATCCATCTTTCTTTTTCTTTTTTTTAGTCTGCAATGTGATTTGATACAGGAATTAATATGGACGCAGACATGAAGGATCTAATTTGTTTTAATCGGGTGCTGATAACTGAACGAACTAGGGTTTTTAATGTAAGTGCAATAATTTTTTGTTTTCATATCTGCTGCAACATTTTTTAAGCGCAATAACAACCTTGACTGTGTTCTTCATAGGTGCTGGATCGCACTCACAATCTTGTTAGCTTAGCATTGGCACATTTGTGCAAATGAGGAGCCACCAAAACTTAACTCAAAAGTCTATTTGGTGTACGGAATAAAAGTATTGCGACGGCTTATAATCATTTTATTATCATAAGTTCATAGCAATGTTCTTAATATTGTAGCACAGATAACGGGAATGAAAGTGAAAAACAATTGTACGTCTTAGTTTTCTATATTACCACCGAGTGAAATTTTATAAGGCGGGCTTCATCTATTTAAATTCAAAATAATTTCAATGCCTATTCGGCTTTAAATGAGGGGAGACACTACAATATGACTCGAGAGTTCAACGTAAACAGAAGATAATAAATAAATGAGCATGTGCAAAAATGGAAGCGCGTCACTGCATATCATATCGGGTACCCCACGACTTCTGTTTGTGTCAAACTAGGTATCACTGGAAGGAAGGCGCTAGTGATAGTTTTTGTGACCAACTTGTTTAGTATATATGTCAAGTTTGAACCACAATATGGGCCTCATCTTAACCAGCAATATCCCCGCCGAATTAAACAATAAATTGAAGAAGGAGAAACCTTAAGTATTCTATTTCGATTAAACAATAACCCCGCCCCTTCTCTCCGATATATCGGTTTCAGTTGTTGGTTGGAAACTGACGCTACAATCCAAATTCGCAAAGATCAACTCTCACCTATAAGCTTCTGTGCACTTAAGAAAAAAACAACGAAAATAATGTCCGATACTTTTTTGGGAACTTGCCCATCTAAGATGGTGCACATCGCGTAACTTACAAGACTTACCACAGGCAGTATAAAGTTCCGTAGACCAACCAGTGTAGATCACATTGCTTAGTAATCTTTAAAAAACAAAAAAGTGAACGCGAATCGTTTTACAAGCATTTAATGTGGCACGCTCCGATGATTAAAATGACTAAACTTGCAAAAGTGACTCTAAAGCCATATCCTCGGAAGATCAGCTGTCGCAAGTAAGCTACTAGTTGTCATATTTACCGCTTCCTGTAAATATTGAATAGGGCATTGAATATTTACAGGAAGCTACCGAGAGCAGTTCAGCGCCTATGAAATAAAAAAAAAGTGCAATGCATATGGCGTATGCAAGGTGGTAGGTTGGTCTAGTTGATGATTGCTTGAGTGCTACTTTAATCATGTTCGAATAATGACATTCTGCACGCTAATCTTTATTTTCTCACCGCGGCATAAATAAATAATTTATATATATATATATATATATATATATATATATATATATATATATATATATATATATATATATATATATATATATATATATATATATATATATATATATATTACAGCGAAGTTGTTTATAGTTTGGGTTCCGTGAATTTTTCGTGTGCGGTGACTAAAAACTCTACGATCGTACCGCCGCACGCGCACGCCTTTTCAGTATAAAAGATTCGAAGTAAATAACCAAAATAGAGTGCGTGCAAGTTTGTATTTTCTTTAAGGTTTTGCTTTAGAACAGTTACTGCTGCAGACACCGGCGCGTGCGGCGCATAAAACACCATTCCTAGCATTCTCCTTGATTCTTGGGTAATTTAGCAATAGGTATATTCAGTAGACTAGTTATCAATAGGTGCCATTTTCAAGATCCGTAAACTCTCATGTAGATAATTAAGGTTCCTCAAAGATTTGCTGCTGTGCGACCCGAGTCGGCCATATTCTACGGTGGCACCGCCCTCTTTTTGTGTCGTTCCAAGCCCTTGCATGCCTAGTTTCCTTTCCTTCCGCTCTCCCGGGGTGGCGGTCCCGTCGCGCGTGCCTAATTTCATCCGGCTCTTCGGGACGGGTCTGGGCCGTATGCTAAACAGCCTCGCCTGTCATCCCCCTCCACAGAGTGGAATGGCTCATGATTTTTTGTTTCGTTTCTTTCAAGCTCAGCCAGTATTTGGGACTCGGACGTTGTTCTGAAATGGTGGGTGGAGCAGGTCCAAGCCTCATACGCAGATCTCAACAGGAAGTACACACGAGGACTCGAAATTTTCCGGAAAGAGCGTCGCGAAAGACTTTGTAATGAATCAAAGAGACCGAATTCAAAATATCGGCCACGGCTTTCTCTTCATCCACTTGTCTTGAGACATGTACACACCTATTTGCACAGGCCGTTGCGCCTCCCATATCGAAAAAACCCAGCTCTTCGCGAGTTGGTCAACGTGGCGTACACCGGTCCTCTAGCCGAAAACACTTCGCGATGAAGATCTGCCGGCCCACTGCTGCATAGATGGCGCCACGGGCTCCGCGCGTTCCCGGTGCTTCTAGACGGGCGAGCCTAGACTACGCTATATTCACAGCGCGGACCGTCGTATCCTGCTCATAGTCCAAGAAGTGGTCATAACGCGAAACCCCTCCACACAAACTTTTAAATCTAAGTCAGCTTTAACCGTGGACGCAGAACATAACTTTTAATTCTGTCAATGCTATATCTTCCCGGAGCGGCATGTACGCAACGTGCTTCGCAGTGTGTGGCTGGGGCCAATGAAACGGAAACAGTGAGAGCTGGGGCGTACCGAGAGGGACGTTCCTTATCGCTAAAACACTTGTGGAAACAATTGCCACTGACAGGCTAAAAAACACCGGGTGTGCCGTGTCTAGGTCATCATATTATCATTCCGCACTCAATGAGATTGGGGTATCATCCGGTAAGGATCCCGAACAACGAATCACGAAGCAAGAGGCGGGAAAGTAATGGGACATGTCCTGCGCTTCCTTAGCTGAGGGCGACCAGTGTGGCGACGCAGTCCAAATGCGAACACGAACAGGAGTGCAGGAGAGCTCCATCTTCTCCAGTGCACACACACATACACTTGCTTTCATCCAGGCTTCTCCGCCCCGCCACTGGAAAGCTTTTTAACAATCACTGGACTGTTTCGTGACAGTCGAGTGATATTTGTGTTTTTTTTTTTTTGTTTGACGAAAACTAATAGAAAACATAACAGCGCACTGATAAAAAAGTGGTTAAGGGAATGTAGTCTTTTGAAAGCGCGAATTTTAACTCATGAAAGGCTCGTCTAAAAAAATATGATATAACTCCATAATCTCTAAACACTGAGAAAAGGGGAGATTAAGTAACGGGCAAGACACACACTTTTGTGTAGTATTTTTTGTTGTTTTCTTTCCCCGCCTTCTGAGGCTTTAGATTGTGGTGTTTCTTACCAAGCGTGCCTACATACTTTCGCGTCTTGATATAACCTACTTTTTTTTTTCTTGCGTATTTGCAAAACAAGTAAATTAAGAAATATAAAAAAATGGTATCTCCCCTCTCTTACATAGCACGTATAGCATAAACGGGTGTTTATTTTTAAAGTGCCCAAATATCTAAAAGGAAGTAGGGTCTCAAAAGTAGAATGAACGAGGCCTGTACGCGGTGGGGGACGTCAAGACACAATTAAGACTGGATAACAATGGCTTTATGAGTTTCAGCTATTTATAAAAAAAACAAAAAAAAAACGTAGTTTTACCAGATATGACGATTGTCTAAAATTGAATATGGTTTTTGTACCTTCATTATTGCAGTGTTCGCATGCACTTGTTTCGTTTTTAATGTATTCTTGTGTACCACCTGCAAGTCGTTTAGCTGATGGTGGACACCTTAGACTAAAGAACTCAAGAATAAAGTAAAAAACAAATTAGCTAGTCAGTTTTTTTAATATTTTGGCAGGCGTGCTTAAGTTATTGATTTGTAGCTCTTTGGCATAGAAGTTAATCGCAATAGGCATACATTAAAAGAAATTGATCTTATTTGATCTGCACCACTTCCCGTGAGGATAATAACTGTACATTGTACCAAAGAAGAACTCACTGGGAAAACAAACTTTTTTATTTTAAGAATGTGGAAACAAGTACCACTTTGACAAAGTGACAAACATCCGTCACACCCTAGTTTTATTACTCTATGTTGCAAGTGCGGACGCCGAAAAAATAGTTGGTTAGCCGTTACGTTACAGCTGTGTTCTGAAGACACGCTAAAGTCAATCGGAGTTCGCGTTTGGTGATTTTCCTGTAAAAGGTTTATCTCCAAAATTAATATTTTGTTAAAACACCCGTAACAATCCTATTAGAGAATCATCCCGTATGTTATTACGACTGTTAGCTTCTTTGCACTCTTTATTTCTGGAAGCTGCATGAAGAGTTCCAAGAGCAAGAGCGGAGAACTCTAGAACATGATTGCTTTCAGCCCGGACGCTACGAACTTGAAAATA